TCAGACAGTGGACTTGGTACATTCACAAACGTTTCGCTGGCATCGTAGTCGGCATCATCAGTGAGTTTTGCTGCATCCACACATAAAATACTCAAACCATTGATCTTGCAATGTTACCGAATGTGATTGAGTTCCATTGCACACGTGTTGCGTGAGTGCAATGCTCTTGAAATGAGTGTGATGTGAGAGTCGAAGCCAGATTCGAGCCTAATCAAGCCTCCTGTTGCTTGCTCGTATTTCTCGTTCCCCCCTTCTCTCTTTAATCCTACCCAATAGCCACAAAGAGTTTCCACTTAACTTCCTACATTCATTTTTTTCTATTCAGGGTGTCGGCTAGTTTTTTTATTTCTATCGCTTCCCTAATCTTTAGCTTACTGGCATAGCCAAACGCTTCGCATTAGACCTATTTATATGATGTCCTGTTCGAGCCGTGTTTGGATGCTTCCGAATTTCTGTTTTGTGTTCATATGACCTCTTATGTATGTGTCTACAGGTCTCTTTCACACAGGCGCTACCGCATGGGCATGAAATCTTGTAACAGCCTAATCCGGAGAGAGGGTTAGAGTATTCTCGAAAAGAAGGCAATACAGAGGAAAGTGCTGTTTTCTCTTTATAGATGTTTCTGATGTCCCACCTCTTCAGTAATTCGCCTATCTTCTTCGACAGATTACACGATGGCAGCATACGGACTCTGTTAGAGTGGTCTAAGCTTTTATTTAGCCCAAAATTTGTGTTCCCCTTCATCTGATTTAACACTATTCAAAAATATTTGTAAATCAGCCCTCGCGGATAATTGTTCCTGACCAGAATTCTCCTTAGTCTTCTCAATTTCTGACCCGAGTCTTAACAACTGCCAGATGCAGACTCCTTATTATCACAACTACTTTAACCCCATAATTGTGGTTAGATTGAGATCGCTTTCTTCGATCATATTACGGAGATCGTCAGAGCGTGAAAATATTCTTTAGGAAAATTTTATCAAGTATTTAGGAAAATAGTTCGCCAGTGTAATTATGCCTTTTACTTATGACCTCTTAATGAGGCATCCCATGCTCTATTTTTCATTTAAAAGTAGTTTTTCAGACAACTACTAAGTAATGCAGTCGAGTGCTATAGAAAACACAACTTTGCATAATCGGCACTCCTACTACAGGAGGTGATTTGGAAAAATACCTGGCCTTCTTTTTAAATTCTCATTTGGCCTATTACCCAAAGTAACTTATGGCAATGTAGCGTAGTCGTTAACGTGTTAAAATTATAGGCTGCACTGAAGCATAAGCCGTATTCATTTCAATGTGGGAAAATTCAACTACCATCACCTTAACAAAATAGGATGAGTACTTCTCATATCCCATGCTTTGGTTAGTTATTTATACTTGTCATGTACGCCTGAAGATAAGTAAAGTGACTGCATATAACAAGTGATGAGGAAGTATTTCTGTTCGAACAGCTGTTTCCTCACCAAAATCACTTTCATCCATGATCTTGCAATGTCATTCATACATTTCGTATAGTTACAAGTATTCCAATAGTATCCCTTTTATTCATACCATACATTCAGAAGGTCGGCTACTCTCCAGTAAGATCTATAGACTCCATAATTTCCTTATCTTATGAAACGTGCATCAAATATTTTCCAACAGAAATAAATAAGACAATCATTCAGCTGGCCTTGAAGCATTCCTTAAAGCCCTATTAGATATTGGGCACTAAGTAAGCTTGCAAGAATTGAAATGAAAATCCAAGAAGAATCATAATCTAAGAAAGGTAGCTAAGTAAGAGATTCCTGCCAAGTTTCAACACATACTACATTATGTCCCACATAAGTCATCTTTATGATAACTATATTAAATCCCAAGATTATCTATAAAATGTACTCCACCTTGCCAATTGCAACGCCTCCATCATCCTGCATCCGGTTAAGGCGTAGATTTAGTTCGATGAGTTTACAGGCTGGCTTGGACAGTGCGTGAGCCAGCGCCTGCCCTCCAGGTCCGTGGAGCCAGTTGTTGGCCAGGCGAAGGCTAACCAACTGGCACCGCCCATTCAGCAGTTTTCCAAGAGCCCTTCCACCCCTATCGGCAATCAGGTTGTGCGACAGATCGAGCACCTGGAGGGTTGAATGATCGAGCAAATGCGAGACCAATACACGACATCTTTCACAGTCTACTCTGCTTCTAAGATAGGCAATTGGAAATAGAATCAGAATAAATAACTAAAACTTAATATAAAGGCATAACACTATGAAATCTCCTTGGCTTCAAAGTTTTTGTAATTTATTTTTAGACAGATCCCAGATAAATTTTCAATTATATGATCCAAACCCTAAATTATGTTATACTCCCAAACATAATTAAATAAGAAGTGGTTTGACCTCATTTTCACAACTTGATGGTTTGCCCAGATCAGGCTTCTATTAAGTATGTCGGCCCTTTTCATGAATCTAAGATTTTTGGTCATGATGAGTAAATAATTCAGAATTAGATGAAAAGTAATGCTATACTAAACTTAAGGAGATCCGAACTATTTTTATTTTACAAACTGAGTTTGCAAATTTAGGTAAAGTACAGAAGGTGAGATTAGCGCTGAAAAAGGACAAAAAAGACATCAATAGACACCATAAATCTGCTGAAGTATTTTGTATCTTCCATGTGCATCGTTAAGCCCAAATCCATTTCAAGTAAAAGTGTGATCAAGAGATCGGAAAAGCGATCCAATCAGAAGACTAGAACGAAGTCCTCCTGGCTGTTTGTCGTTTGGCCTTACTAGAAATTCCGGCCTGAAGCTATCTTCAAGACAATATACTTTAGGTTATAAGAAAAAGATTCTAAGGTTTCAATGAGGATATGAAGACCAAGATGTTGTGGCATAGCGAAATGATACAAAGAAACAACATACGGGCCGTGAAAAGCCGATGGGAGAACAGGGACTGCGAAATAACAGTAAGGACGATAAAGGATTCATAAAAGTGGATATGCCGACCTCCCTGCGAACAAACTCAAAAACTACGGCCAATATTGAGGAAACGCAATATTCAGGTGGGCATGAAAGAGAAATCAACACTTTTCACAAGTCTACCGACGCAACATGAAAGGGTAGATAAATTGATTTGTTCAGGAGTTAACTGTATATCATGCGGCCCCTGTGAACAGAAATATATGGGCGAAATAGGGAGAACAATTAGCACACGAATCAAGGAATATCAGAGGGTCTGCAGGAAAATGGATACCGAAAGATCATAACTAGAGGAACACATTGCACAGACTGGACACGAGATCAATTGGAAGGCAACATAAGGAAGTAGAAGATTAGGAAGGCCATTGAAATCCTTGGGGAGAAAAATCTAATAAACAGGAGATTGTAGGAAGGTAAAGTTAGGGATAAGTTTGCCTACTGCTTAAGCAAACTCTGGGAAAACAAGAATAGAGCTAGACCAGCAAAAAGAAGACGCCTGGTACAAAGATCTATCGATAACCGGAGGAAAAGGGATCGTGATGAGGAAAAGGGGGGGTAAGGGGTTTTCGGCAATTAGGCGAAGACGTTGTCAACAGGTGATGTCCGTTTCGAATAAGCCAGTACAACTTTGGGGGGCGTGGCAGTCAGGGAGCGGGGCAGACAATTAAGCAAACCGTAACAGAAATTCGGCGTTATGGCCCAAATTTAGTAGAAATCCACTGGAGATGCCGCATGCCTACAGAGATAGGCGTCCACAGTTTGCTCAGGTAACATGGGTCTAATCAAGGAGACGACCCGTAAAGGGAAGGCCTGATATCTGCACGCATGGGAATCAGAGCTTAGGCGCTCTGCTCAGTTAGACTGCAGTATATGTGCTGCTTGAGAAATAGCGCCTGGAGTGAAATCAACACAGGGACAGAAACCTAGGGAAATCTGTCAACCAGAAAGATAAGGACGGATCTGCGGAACAATGAGGGTATCAGGATTGGATTCCCCGGATTAGCCGATCGAAAGAGAGGGTGTCGGGGTGAATAGCAAGTGTGACGATGACAGACTAGATTTGTAGCGAAAGGGCACACATTTTGACGAGTGGAATGTAATAAGTGAGAAGTTGTGATAGGCCGTGAGTTGGATAAGAGTATAAACAGTTGATAAATAGGCCAAGACAGTAAGAGGAGTGATAGTGTAACCGTTTTCGGCAGAACGTTTGTCGAGGGATAGACTTCACTTGTCTCTTTGACGAGTTCGTATCTTAGTGCGG